CTAGTTTTGAGAACTTCAAGAAATTTGGTCTCATTACGAAGATGACATCGTACCGTTTCACATAGTGCACGGAAAACGAGATGAAAATGGAGCGGTACGGAAAAAAGTGGATATGATAGAGCGCGCACGCGGTCCTCATAATTTTGGCCCTCCCTGTAGATTGCTACTCGTCCAATGTCACGATATCCGAAAAATTTTGTCTGTATCAATTGCGCAATTTCGCTTTATGTGCAGTTGGTCTATCCTGCTAGGTGTTTACTGGTTTCTCGAAGGTTTCAAATAGGTTTGAGTTCGAGAAATTGAGGACCGCTCTTGTTACCGTAATTTTTGCCCCCCTCACTTTAGCATGCAATTTAGATGTGAATCCAGCGATTGCTGCATCAATTGCTGTAGCAGGAGGATATGTGAGTACAGTTGGAAAAATCTCCTGGTGGACAACCTCAAAAGAACCTAAGGAGGCTGCTCGATACTTGGGGTTTCAGAAGGTGCATTGCCGACTCGACCTTGTATTGTACGAAGAAGTGTGCTTTTGTAATGGTGAACCAGTATTGTGCAGTCTCACTCATTATATCACCCCAGGCAATTTTAAGCAAGTAAGGCTGCGCAATGAAAGATTTCATTATTTTTTATTTGTTCTAGAATAGCGATTTTAGCTATTTTTAAATTCATTCACATTTGGAGATATATTTCTGCCATGCAAAAAGCTGAATTGGTACGAGGGTGAGCAAGAGCAAGTGGTCGCTCAAGAGTCTCGTGAAGAGTACTGATGTGGATTTTGAATGAAAGGTCCATTTACTACAAGAACGACGGACATACTGACGGATTTCAAAGGAGTTTTGTCACGATCGAGGTTACATGTAGTTCACTTAACATCAAGCGTAGACGTCAAAACTAGCTTGGGAAGTTTCATAGGCATCTAAAAACTAACTTGAAAGCAAACTCTAATGGCCCGCTGCAAGGTGGGAAACAAAGCTCACATATCATTCGCAGATTCCTTCACGATACGATATGACCCCACAGGATGGCTTATATCCAGCATGCCTGTTTGCAATTACTTTGAACGAGTAAATGTTGCTATTGAGGAACATAGCCTGCTCCAGTTTAACCATAAAGGCGCGCACAAATGCTAACAAAGGTTACGGTGACACTGGATCCGATCAGTGGATAAAGGACATGCGCTCCAATACTCGACAGCGCGCCCCAGTGTTATATGCTTACGGTGGAACCTGGGCAAACAATAGTGAGAGATCGTTATTGTGTCTTCTTTAGGTCGCAACGCAGAGACCTACAGCCAGGGTCAACCCTACCGTTGCTACTTTTGAGAAATTTTTTACGACTCCCCTCCTTCATGGGGATTTGATACGACCCCCTTCTCCCCACCCCGACCACCACCGTCACCATCATAGCTGTTTCTATAGCATTTGATTCTGAGACCAGTCGACACAGCCCGACCCACTTTTTCCTCCAAACAGCCGTCAGGGAGGGGGTATTTCTCACGTAATACCCCAGTTTCACATGTGATTTCATGGGGCTAAAGCGAGTACGACCTCCCACAATCTGAACCAAATACGACCCCCTCGTTGGTACTTGTAGCAACGTAGGGTTGACCCTGCCTGCAGCTCGAAGTGAGGACTGTTTTGCGCTGCAGTTGATTAATGTGGCTAGTGTTAGTTTTTGCGAACCCAGCGAATCGCTAGCCAATCTCAGGGTACGAGTGATAGGTCACCCAATCGAAAATCGCATCAGCGGCTCAAGAGATGCACAGGCGCACGTTGCACCAGTGACTAGCTAGCGCGGCAAAGTGGCGACAGATCCTCTCATGCGCACGTTGACCAGCGCTCCCTTCCCGGGTTAGCGAGGACATGTAAGGGCATGGAAAATGACGAAACTCAACGTGCGCATGAGAGGGACTTCCGCCACTTTCCAACAATGTCGAATCACCAGTACATTCAAACCGCTGGCACACCGTTCGTACCCCGCGGTTCGATAGCACTCCGCTGGATTCGCAAAGTCTGACATCGACCTAAAGGTAACGATCACACTGGAAACAAATATAATTACAAGCTCGTATTTTGGCAGCTGATTGATTTGTTCAATAAGAAAGACTTCTGAACTATGTGTAAACAAGTTCACACAATGTTTAGATGATGCGATAGGATCACAGTTGCTAAAAGAGTCTCACCCATCATCGATTTTTCTTCGTCTGGACTCATTCCATGAATAAATATTGTCTTCACGATGACCTTAAAAGATGAACTTCAACTCACATCTTAGCAACAATTGAACCGATTTGATTAATAGAGGGGGAGGATTCAGTTGAGAGTAACTGAAAATTCCGAAGCAAAAAATGGCCAAATGCATTCACCATTCCGGAGTTTCTTGAGAGTAAAGCTACTGTTTGTTTCAATTATTCAAGTTATGAACTGAGGCCGAACCTTTTGAGCAAGAGGATCCTCCCTTCGTCGACAAAGCCAGCAAACACCGTACGCTCCACGACCAACCACTCGTATCCGCTCGTAGTTTTCCATTGTTAATCGGTATTGATCACTAGTGGATCATTTGAACCTGAAGTGGTCCATGTTGAAGCTGGGCTAAAACTGATTAAGAAAATGGGTGCCCGACAGAAGACCCGTCACGCGGCGGAAAGACTGAGACGCAGATGTCTAATTGGACGAGTGGCAGCCTGTTGCAATTCACTATTGAGTCAAGTAGAATACGGCAGTACATCGCTCATCGCACAGTAAGCGCTGCGACTCGTCGAGGACCCGTCTACACTCCTCCTTCACACCCAAAGGGCAACGGGCCTCCTGTCGAGTATCCTAAGAAAACGCATCAGTATGACAAGGCGTCTAGTCACTCAAAATACGTTGATTCCTGTTAACACATTGACGACAATGCGAGTTTTGGCTTTTTTGGCCACGTGGGACCGCGGCGATTTTGCGGGCGCGCTCGCCTCAGGTCGTTCAAGCAGATTTTGAGTGATAAATACACAACTAATGACCAATTCAAAACCAAATTAGTAAATTGTAATGAGCGCAACCTACCCAGGGGTACAGTGGAATTTTGATCAAAAGACATGGAATAACAATGAAAAAGCGAAATTTTTCAGAACTAGCTGCAATGGACCTTAAAAGTAATTTTACGTTGATTATTCCAATCAAAACACACATGTTGTCATCCCTAAAGTTCCTTATCTACTTACTACTTTTTAAATCTTCATATTAATAAAAAGAAAAGTAAACGAAAAATTTATTGAAATGAAGATTTCGTATGGTTCAGAAATCCTCCTCTAAATTAAAGTATACGTGACCATTCTAAGGGCCACTATGTTTGTAGCTACGTCAAGGTCTCTTCCATGGAATGAATACAAGAAACTTCTAAAAGAATCAGGCGTGCGCGAAAAAAATGAGTGTAATGGGTGCGGGGGATATATATATCCCGCACGGTCCGACATGGCCTGCAATGCGCGGGATATATATCCCCCGCGTTGTCGTCAATGTGTTAAGTCATGCCGCTTTCGAGTCGTTGTCAAATTCGCGTGAAAAGAGCAACGCCACTCAAATTAAGTCAAGGAACAACTTACTACAAAAAGGAAAACCATAGAGAAACCGGGAAATGGACCCTTGTGCCCGTTGATTTCCTCGTTAATGTGACGCATATTTTGTCCGTCTTTCACGCTAACCCAACGAAGTTAGACCTTATCGAGTAGTTGATAGTCGATGGAGACGTGGCAATTGCGGCAACGAGTGAGTCATGATAGACCTAGCCGACCGACCAACATCATTATCGCTGCCGATTGCATGTCAATGCCGCTCTACAGGAAGTCCGCTATGCTCCCTACAACCAGGCAACGTTTCTCCTTCTTCAGCTTCGTTCTTCTCGCGAATCCTCGCTTTGCATACATGAGCGATAAACTGCGTTGAACCAAGCGCTGTGTAAAATAAGGGGCGTCAAGCTGAATGGTCGTCTCTTGAGGAACCGTTCTCAAATTCATTTCGATGATTTATAGTGCCTGCGCTGTCGTCGCGTACGCTTTCATCCAAGAGCCTCCATTGAATGTAAGGTCGGCAATCTATATGGCAAATTGTCAACGTCTCTTATGCGATGAATTTCATAATAATTATTCTACTGCCACCAGCTCTGCATCTTCTTTTTCTGTGTGGGCGCTAACTGATAAATGTCTAGTGTTCCCATACGAAGGTCCTGTTGGCCCGAGGCATTGAATGAGCTTGAGGGACTTCAACATAACTCCTGCAATTCAGTCTTATGTGCCGAGTAGCCATGTTAGAGGTGGATGTTGAATTCGTAATTCGGAGTCTTGAGAATCCTGCGGACACCAAATTCCAAGTCTTCTCATCTTGAAACTTCGGCATTTTCGTTGATGTTGTACTTGCGTTCTTACTCCTGCCTCTGGCCAGAATAAAGATTTACCACCTAAAAGCCTTGAGGCAGGAGTAAAAACACGAGTATGTACAACCTGCGGTTACCATTACTGAATGACTAAAGTGGTTTTGTCGACGACATACCGCCGATGGCTTTACCTATTCGACCTATCGACTGACCCAACTATTAAATATTTTCTCATAAGTGAAGAAAATCTACAAAGAAGTCTCTTACGTTAGCGGAATGCCTTTTTACACGTTTGTGACCGCGCAGTGTTGTGCGTTTTGCGGGTTGCGTGGAACTTTTATGAAATGATTAAAAAAGTTACAAAGCAAATTTGAAAGAAAACCATGTTGCATGATGCAGGAGAAACCTTATCGATCGAAATAGGAAAGAAAACAAATGAAAAGTTCAATATTTGTTTCCGAAATATGGGCTGAAAGGTCCTACGCGGTCGACGGACTGCAGTCCACATATGGGACTGCATGGGCTCCCAAGTGTTCACTCGGCTTTCTTTTCTGTTTGCACGTCCCAGACAAAAGTTGGAGAGCTTCAAGCTTAAGAGCATTCACAGATGCTAGCTAACAGTATCTCGCAAAGAGTTGAAGCCAATCTCCATTTCAGAGGCAGAACAGCAAAATGAACAAGCAGGATTCCAACGGCGCTTCGCACGTACAGTAGCGGTCAAAAGTGTTCGCCGAAACGGATTTTCCGTGCTTCTCTTTTTTTGCCAAAAAATCAATGGTGGCCTCGAAAATTTTTTTTTGAATATCCTGATTCTTTAAGACTTGAGGATATAAAAACACTAGAAAACATAGTATATCAATCTTTGGAGGGCGTTGCTCAAGCGAGAAAAAAATGCACTGAAAATCGTTTCGGCGAACACTTTTGACCGCTACTGTATATTCAGGAGATTGCTCATGAAGTCACTACAACTCTCAAACAAACACCTTGACGATACAGACGCACGATTGGTTCAGGAGTGGATAAAAAGTTGGTCATCCTAAAATTGATACTTTTCATATAATTTGAAGGTTGATCTCTGTAACAAATACCCATGAAATCCACTCCAAGAACTCCCGGCGCTTGAATTAAAAGTTGCTAGTGCCTCGTTACCTTTCTTTGCGCCCACCCTGTACAAAGAACAATGACAACGTGTGTTACAAAATTTATCTGAGTGTTTAATCCTCAAATACATCGAACAAATCACAGCTGGCGAAGGAAAACATTTAACTACACCGGTGTGCACAACTTAAAGCAACAATCCAGGAACGAA